GTAAAATACTAGAAGTAGCCTTAGAGTACCTGGTGGTCCGAATTGGTCAACATTAATAATATGTATCTCTTTTAGTTTAGTAAAATACTAGAAGTAGCCTTAGAGTACCTGGTGGTCCGAATTGGTCAACATTAATAATATGTATCTCTTTTAGTTTAGTAAAATACTAGAAGTAGCCTTAGAGTACCTGGTGGTCCGAATTGGTCAACATTAATAATATGTATCTCTTTTAGTTTAGTAAAATACTAGAAGTAGCCTTAGAGTACCTGGTGGTCCGAATTGGTCAACATTTAATAATATGTATCTCTTTTAGTTTAGTAAAATACTAGAAGTAGCCTTAGAGTACCTGGTGGTCCGAATTGGTCAACATTAATAATATGTATCTCTTTTAGTTTAGTAAAATACTAGAAGTAGCCTTAGAGTACCTGGTGGTCCGAATTGTTCTACCTCTGTATTTTCTTTATTTGTTTTATTTTTTTTACAATGTCCCAAGTAGTTCACAGTAGTAGCCTGTTAGTCTAAATAGGTTAATTTTATTCTCCTGAATTTATTTTTTGACTGGTCTCAAGCAGGATTGCCCAAATTGGCGAACTTTTAGATTCTATATTCGTTTTTGTCTAGTACAATACCATAAACAATATTCAATGTATTGGTTGTCCAATTTTTATATTCTATATTTAATTCATTTTGGTACAACAGAAGAAGCACATATTACATAGTGGTCCGATTTGGTCAATTTTAGATTTTATAATTTCGGTAGTTTGGTACGTTGCTACAAGCAGTATACAGTACCAGGTGGTCCAAATTGTTCAACTTGAATTCTGTATCTATATTAATTTTCTGAAATGTCACGATCTGCGTAAAATACATGTTGGTCCAAATTGGTGAACTTTTAGTTTGGTAATAAACAAGACATTGTTTTTTACTCAAAAAATTATTTCTTATAAAAATTGTTTATTTCAAGTGACTGACATAGGTGGTCGACCTACCTGAAAATTGATGGGTTTCTGCAAACTTATTAACTAAATTTTGCGATTAGCCAAGATCGTAAATTGATCTTTTTCCAAAAATTAATAATTTCAGTACAGCAAAAACGGTAGCTAAGCATGAAAACCTAAGATCCTTATGGGAAAGAGCACCACGAAATTACCTAAAAAACGTGTTTTTTTTTCTTGGCACCAAAAATCGTGTTATAGGTAATTTTACGAAATCAGCTCTGCTAATTTAACCATATCTAAATTACAATTACGACAGGAGTAAATATCTGTGCCATCAGCAGAAATACCGAATAAAGATCTGATAACACCGAAAAGGTCATTGAGAATTAAGACCAACGTTGGTCCAAAGACAGATCTCTGTGATACCTTCTCCACAAGCTGAAACGTTGCATTGTCTCCGTACACATTTTTGAGCTGATCAGGTCTTTCCTATCAAATCGTGAAACGAAAATTACCCTGAACGGCACTCGTCTAGATCCTTTCGTACAAATGCGGGTGCCCCCCAGAGATCTATCCTTTCTCCTACGCAGTTTAATTTTCATTAACGACCTTCCTGATGACATCAGCTAACTTGGCATCTAGGCAGATGTCACTACTATGTAGTCCTGCCTCGATAGTAAAGCTGATCAATTCGACAAGGTCAAAATGGCAATTGATGCACAAAACAACCTCAAGACCGGTGTTAACTAGGGCAAAAGGGACTTATCAATTTTAACGCCTGCAAAACTAAAGTTATCTCTATCATTTGAAAGACCCGTCTCTTCCTTCCATCAGCATGGCTGATGCTAACCTCCAGGAAAGAGACTTGTCCCGCTTTTCTCAGCTGACATGAAGTGAAAAGTCTACATTAAATCCATTACTAGGTCAGCTGCTAAGAAAGTTGGTTCACTGTGTCATGTAACACAATTTTTATCTCCAGATTCTATCTTACATATCTATAAGTCTACCATTCGTCCATGCTTAGAATATTGTGCCTTCTCGGGTTAACGTTCTCAGCTGACAGGAAATGAAAAGACTATATTAAATCCATTACTAGGTCAGCTGCTAAGAAAGTTGGTTCACTGTGTCGTGCAAGACAATTTTTATCTCCAGAATCTATCTTACATATCTATAAGTCTACCATTCGTCCATGCTTAGAATATTGTGCCTTCTCGGGTTAACGTTCTCAGCTGACATGAGGTGAAAAAACTATATTGAATCCATTGTTAGCTCAGCTAAGAAAGTTGACTCACTGTGTCGTGCAAGACAATTTTTATCTCCAGAATCTATCTTACATATCTATAAATCTACCATTCCTGCATGTTATTTACCTTGAGCTCCTTAATAAGATGCAAACAAGAATCAGCAATATTATTATTCCTGATCTAGCGGGTCGGCTTCAGTAACTTGTCCGACGTCGTAAGGTTGCCTTTCTGTGCTTTTTCTATAAATACTTTGATGGTAATTGCTTGGATAAGCGCTGCTTTGTTTTGGTAAATGAAATTAAATTTCTTGATAGGTTCATTTTTTAATTGTATATTTAGGTCTTTATATAACACCATGCATTAATCTAGTTATTACTGACAATTCTGATATTTTATTTTCTATTTACAAAAGAGCGTATGGGAAATATTTTGATGCCGTAATTCAAGTAACATGAAAGTTATCTCCCCTGACACACGTATGCATTTTCTCGTTGATTTTTCCCAAAAGATTATTTTATAAGCATTTTTTTTTCTTAGGCTAAAATATCGTAAGAATTGATTCTCGAAATATTAAAGGTTAAAACTTTATATAATTGTTAATTATTTTTTGGCTAAATTTCAAATTTAAGCGCAAATTCTTAATTAAAATATTTGTTTACATCTGTTACACACACTTAATGATACGCGTGTATATACGGTATATAAAACAAACCAACCTATCAAAATATTTTAGAAGTTATTTAAATCCTCTCTAAATTATAAAATGCAAAGCATATACAGTGGTCATGAAATGGGGGATGAGTTTAATACTAAAAAACAATACAAAACTGATCTCTCACTTTCTATCAGCCTTTTATTTGCTTACCTTTAAAGATGTTTTGGAATTTCATCTATGAATATACTATGGCCAAGAAATGGGGGATGTGTTAAATACTTATTCACTTTCACCATATGTTTTGGTTTTATTACAATATTAATCATCACATTTTGAAACAATAAACATTTCCGAGGAGTGAAGGTAATTAAAATAATAGCGGTATCAAGGGAAAACAATCTTTTTTGACAGAATTTTTTTGGCGGGCAGGAAGATCTCCAAATTATATATCTAACGGAAAATTGTCAAGATAATGAAGAAAATGGTAAAGGTATTTTCTCTAAAAGAGCAAAAAAGAAAATCAAAATGTTTTTTTTTTTTTTATGGAGGGGTGTATTATTAATATTTTAATAGTATGAAAGAGTGTTTGGCTACCTGCTCTTTCAGACCCAAAATGGGGTACCAAATAGAATATCTCATCACAACAATTACAGAAAAGAATATTTACAGAAAAGGTACTAAGTAACTACATTACAGCGGAGTCAAAAAAGACTGACGCCGAGATGCTAAGCCAGGACCAATAACATTGCAGATTTTTCTTTAACGTTTTATCAAGATTCTCTAAATATCCAAAGATTTGTTTTATCTGACTTGCCTAATCTTTTGCCAAAATAGTTTCCTGTTGAATTTCCACGGATTTTAATTCAGGGACTTTTTTGTTTGTTTTTGTTGTATGCTAAAAGAGGTTAAAAACAGACAAGGGTGGTACTCGAGTGAAGGAACAGCAACACGCGCAAAGAGAGTTTTATAATAAAAGAGAATACGCTACTGAAAGACAGTGGCAGGCTAGTAATTCCCGAATCAAGCCCCTAGATAGGCGATAAGGAGTGTGGGACATTCCATTACAAGTGTTTTTTTTTTTAACTTTTCTTATATCATTTTCTACCGTTTAACCCATAGCTGAGAGGAGAAAAATGAAGTTATATCTTCTCGGACGTCACTTGAAAGTAAACGCAACAGCATCAGCTGACATTTTAACTCGATCCGGGTATTTTCCGCGCGAAGGAATGTTCGACTATTCCTACATTCAAATGTGACGTATAGTAAATTTTCCTACGCATATACGTACTCAAATTTAATAAGAGGGTTGTGGAGCGAGGGCAATTCGTGAAAATATTTCTTATTCATAAGGATGTGATTTGTGTAATTGTAGAAAGCTTGTCTTGTTAGAACAATTACGACTGAGTAGTGAAGTCGAACCTCACTGAGTTCCTCATACTTTCAGCCTTGAGCCACACCTAGCTATTGCTTAGAAAATCAAAATTCGGATGTGATTACGGTGTAAAAGTTAACTACCCGCAATGATCAATCTGAAATCGAAGCTTGAATTCCAGTCGAGTTCGTTATATCCACTTGCCCCGACCGCACGCAAGCGAGAAGCAGTCGAATTCACTGAGTCCTTGCCAACTTTCTGAAACTGTGGTCCGTCCACCTGTGGGACCTCAGACTGACCGACCGGCCGACCAATACGCGTTTCCGACCGGCCGATCAGAAGTGCATACACGAGTTCACTTGGTCTCTCCGACTTTGTGACTTGTGCTCCGCCCTCAAAGGCAGGTGGACGTCTTACGAGCAGCCGGACCAAGCCCGGTCGTGGGGCGCGCTCGATCGACTGATGGCATGCTAGTGAGGAGCATTTACTTAGTTTTGTCCAAAGACCAGTTAGGAAAGATCTGAATCCATCTTTTTCTTCCACCAACTATGGGTTAAATAGTAGAAGATATATTTATGGAAAATCAAAAATCTCCAAAATAATCACAGAAAAATAATTATTTTTACAATCCAAAAGATATGCGTCGGCTTTAAATAACTAACAAACGGTTGATAGCCCTTAAAAAATCAAGTTAAATCTCATAATTTTCTTTCAAAATGTATGCCGTTATATTCATATATTTTATTTGCTTATTTTCAGATATGCCATGCCTTTGTGTCCCTGTCTTGGAGATGGATGGTGGAATGAGAATGCCAGAGACCATGGCCATTGCCAGGTACTTGGCCAGGGAATATGGTAAGTAGATACAGAGAGTCCATAAAGTCCTTTAAATTATTATAAAAGCAAATGAACAGACAAATATGTGGAAATTGTTAAAATATAATGAGTAGTTTTTTTTTTTTTTAATTAATCTAATCTACCTCTATATGGGGACCATTAATTGCACGGAGCACATAAAGACGGTTCACGATTTCTTGCCATGTTCGCTTTGAGCATAGCCTCATCAATGGTGGCAATGGCATCTAGGATCATTAGCTTTAGAACCATGGGGTCTCGTATCTTTGTTCGATACACGATATATTTAACATAACTCCATAGAAAGAAGTTCAGAGGAGTGATATCTATTGAACGAGATGGCCAGGGAATTCGGCCATCCCTTTCAATCATTGATCTTTTGCTGCAGATAAGTGATGTCTCGTATCTTTGTTCGATACACAATATCTTTAACATAACCCCATAGAAAGGAGCTCAGAAGAGTGGTATCTATTGAACGAGGTGTCCAAGGAATTCGGCCATCCCTTTCAATCATTGATCTTTTGCTTCAGATAAGTGATGTCTCGTATCTTTGTTCGATACCCAATATCTTTACCATAACTCCATAGAAAGGAGTTCAGAAGTGTGGTATCTATTGAACGAGGTGGCCAGGGAATTCGGCCATCCCTTCCAATCATTGACTTTTGCTCGTATCTTTGTTTGATACACAATATCTTTAACCCCATTGAAAGAAGTCCAGGGGAGTGATATCTGGTGAGGAAGGTGGCCAGGGAATTGGCTCGTCCTTTCCAATCTACGGAATTGGAAATGTCCGGGGATTCATTTAGCAGTACCTCTTTCATCGACAGTATACCTGAAATACAAAAATGCGATGTGAGTAAAAACTGAATACAGAGAACAAATCTGATTAAGATATTTCCTCAATTGCGTTTGTAATATATTTTTGAAATTGTAAATAGTCTTTATGGACAGACTGTTGTATGTTCAATTTTATTTGTGGCATAATAATCCCATCTTCTCTTAAAACATCGACGCTATTAGAATTTAATTTAAGAAACACTACTACAAGTTCACGTTCTAGCCTTTTTTCTAATCCTTGCTCCAACTTTTCCCCTCCTTTCAAATCCTGCTCCCAAAGCCTTGATCCTTATCAGATAAAATATATATTTTCTGACGAACGATAGAGCTGAAAAATATAAAAAGGAATCTGACCACCATTACCCTGATCCTGGTTTGATAAAGTCTAAGGGTAACTTTTAAAACTTCTTGACCCAACAGAGTGCCACATTTATCCTCCGAGTTAAACAAATGCCTACTAAGTATCTATATAATACTAAAAGTTTCTGATAGCGTGCTTGCGTGGTGTGTCGTCCGTCCGGCGCATAATAATGATTTAAGTTTCATTCCACCTCTCTCTTTTCAGTTCTCTTTCCTCACCTCTCTCTTTCCACCTCTCTCTCTCTCTCTCTTTATCCACCTTTTCTTTCCACCTTTCTCTCCACTTTATCTCTTTCTACCTCTCTCTCTTTCCTTCTCTCTCTTTATACGTCTCTGTCTCTCCACTCCTCCATCTTTCTACCTCTCTTTTTTCACTTCTATATCCTCACCTTTTTCTTTCCGCCTCTCTCTCTTTCCAACTTTTCTTCCCACCTCTCTCCCCCACATCTCTCTCTCTCTAACTCACTCTCTTTCCACCTCTCTTTCCATCTCTCTCTTTACACGTCTCTGTCTCTCTACTTCTCCATCTTTCTACATCTCTCTTTTAACTTCTCTTTCCTCACCTCTCTCTTTCCAGCTTTTCTTTCCATCTCTCTACTTCTCTCTCTTTCTACCTCTCTACTCTTTTCTCTATCTATCAATCTCTCTCCTCTTCTCTCTTTCTACCTCTCTCTCTTTCTTGTCTCTCTTTCTCACTTTCTACCTCTCTCTCTTTCTAAATCTCTCTCTTTCTACTCTCTCTTTCATCTCTACATTCTCTTCATTCCCTCTCTCTCCCCTTGTCTCACTTTCTACCTCTCTATTATACCTCTCTCTATTTATATCTCTCTTTTACAAATAAACTTTTCCTCCCTCTCTCCACTTGTCTCACTTTCTACCTCTCTCTTTCTACCTCTTTGCTTCTACCTCTCTCTTTCCATATCTCTCTTTCCACGTCTCTGTCTCTCTACTTCTCCCTCTTTCTACATCTCTCTTTTAACTTCTCTCTCCTCACCTCTCTCTTTCCAGCTTTTCTTTCCATCTCTCTCTCTCTCTCTACTTCTCTCTCTTTCTACCTCTCTCCTCTTTTCTCTCTATCTACCTCTCTCCTCTTTTCTCTCTATCTACCTCTCTCTCCTCTTCTCTCTCTTTCTACCTCCCTCTCTCCACTTGTCTCACTTTCTACCTCTCTCTTTCTACCTCTCTCTCTTTCCATCTCTCTTTTTATATATCTCTGTCTCTCCACATTTCCCTCTTTCTACCTCTCTCTTTTCAACTCTCTCTCTCTCTCTTGCCACTTCTCTTTCCTAATCCACACCTCACTCTTTCCACCACTATGTGATTGCGTGCGTCCTTGTCTGTTGCGTCCGCCCGGCGCATAATGATTTAAGTTAATCTGATTTAAGTGAATAAGATTTCAAAATACGAGTTGTTTATCCATTAAGTATACAGAGAATTTTTTCAGTTAATATATTTTTAAGTTAATGACCGACAAAAACGGATCTCGGGTTGCTGATTCTTCCAGTTGTTTGTAGAGTAATTATTTATATTTCAGCTTTCTTCAAACAAACAATATCTTAAATATTTAAAAATATCTTTAAGTTAATCTGATTTAAAAATATTTAAAATGAATAAGACTTAAAAATAAGAGTTGTTTATACAGCAAGTATTTTATTTTAACTTTCTGCAAACAATTTTTATAATTAAAATATTTTTTAAGTTAAAGACAGACACAAAGAGATCCCGCTTTGATGTTTCTTCCAGTTTTTCGTAGAATAATTATTTATATTTCAGCTCTATTTAAACAGACATTATTTTAAATATTTATGAAATATTTTTAAGTTAATCTGATTTTTAAAAAAATATTTTAAAAGAATCAGATTTAAAAATTAATACGTGTTCGTACATTAAGCATTTTTATTTCAACTTTCTTCAAATGTTTCATAACCAACGCTTTACGGGAAGCCTAGTAATTAATATTTAAAATAAATAGCTACTTACAAAAAAAAGGTCGCAACTTGATTTTTCTATGTCGTCATTCCTCATTATAAGATTTGGTAATCGGAGAGCCAAGTTCCAATTCCAGTCAGGTTCGATGTATTCACTTTCACGCAAATAACCTTGGGAAAGATATGACTCTACCTCTTTTCCCCTCAGCTATAGGTTAATTAGTAAGATTGTCGTAAATTTTATTTCACCTTTCAACAAAATTTAGATTTTCTAAAAGAGTATCTCCATTTTGAGGCCCTGTAAAATAAAGTCAAATCCGAAAATATATATTTAGAAGAAACACCCCAAAAAATAAGACTCAGATATGTTCTGTAGAGGGGCCATGGCTGTTATGTTGTTGATAGAAGTCAGACGTAGAAGAAACGCATGTAAGGTTCAGATACTCCTGCCCGCTGGGCCCAACTACATAAAAAGGTTGGACTTTGATTAAGTCCAAAGAAGAAGGCAAAGAAAGCAAACAAAACACAAGACCGATAATATATGTATATACAAATATATATTAATAACAAGTTACAATACATGGAAACAGTACAAAGGACGAAGTGTGCGTGAATATTCTGTGTGTGCGTGCGTGTGTGAATATTCTGTGTGTGCGTGCGTGTGTAAATATTCTGTGTGTGCGTGCGTGTGTGAATATTGTGCTTAGCGTGTTTCCACGCTATCCCTTGTTAGCGCCTACATTTCGAAGTTGATAGCTGAAATCCTGAGGAAAAGGGAGAGATTTACCTCAAGGTGTCGGCGCACAGGCCTGAGGGAAAAAGAGAGAGAGAGAGAGGCGAAGGGTCCGCAGGTATTTATAGCAGCGAAGAGCGACCCCTGGTGAAAGGGTTAATGTACTAAAGGAGGAGTTAACTCCGAGTTCTTTGAACATGTATAGAAAATTATGATTCTTGTGTTTTGGTGTCCGTATAATTTTATAAGTACTGAATCTGTATTACTTATAGGTTACTACCCCAAGAACAGCATGGATATGATGAGGTGTGACTACATCGCTGACTGCTTCTATGAAATCATGCACGATTACATGAGGTACTTCCACTGGAAGAACGGACGCTTCAGGGTACGTCAATTATTTCGAATCCGATCAATTATTTCGAATCTGCTCTACATCTTTTAACACACTATCTACAGAAATGAATAAGCAAAGAGTCTATTAAAATGATCATTAAGACTAAAAGACGTTAGCTAAGACGAGTGTCGAGTGCTTTGTAAATAATTATAGTTATTTCGAATCTGTTCAACATACCATATCTACATCTTTCAACACACTATTGAAATTGATAAGCAACGAGGCTAAATGATTATTAAAATTAAAAGACATTATCTAGGACAAGTGTCGACTGCTTTGTAAATAATGATAGCTTCTATGAAATCATGCACGATTACATGAGGTACTTCCACTGGAAAAACGTACGCTTCAGGGTGAGTCAGTTATTTCAAATCTGCTCAACATCTACAACTTTCAATACATGATCTAGTGAAAATGATATCCAAATAGACTGTAGTAAAATGATCATTAAGACTAAAAGACATTAGCTAAGACGAGTGTCGATTGCTTTGTAAATAATGACTGCTTCTATGAAATCATGCACGATTACATGAGGTACTTCCGCTGGAAGAACTATCGATTCAGAGTGAATCGGTTATTTGAAATCTACTCAACATTTCATATCTACATCTTTCAACACTCTATTTAAAGAAATGGATAAGCAAATATGCTACAGTAAAATGATCATTAAGACTAAAAGACATTAGGTAAGACGAGTGTCGAGTGCTTTGTAAATCATGACTACTTCTATGAGATCATTCACAATTACATGAGGTACTTCCACTGGAAGAACGGACGCTTTAGAGTGAGTCAGTTATATCAAGATTCCATATCTTTATCTTTCGACACACTATCTATAGAAAAGAGACTACAGTAGAATGATCGTTAAGACTAAAAGACGAGAAGTCAGTGCTATGATGCAACCCTCTTAAAATTAGCTTCAAAATTATGTCGTACGAAGTCGCATGATAGGGAAGTATATACGGTGCATTGTTTGCGGGAATATTGTAATTAGAATTAAGAAATATCCCGTTTTTCTAATTGCAGTTTGGAAATAATGGTTCCATGAATTCTGACATGGGGAACACCGGTAACATGACGTCTTCTAATTATGACGTAAGTAAATATTTACTTTCTGTTTGCATTATTTAATTCCAAATGATTCATTTTGCTTTGTCATGGCCAACCTAACTGGCACTCAGACCGACTCTTCATTAAACACATCTGAACGAAACTGCTAAGTTTTAATCGTCTGAGATTACCGTTTTTACCATCCGTTAGCATGGCTGATGCTAACCTCCGGGAGAGTGACACATTGCACCTTTTCAGACAGACGTTCTCACCTGACGTAAAATGGGGAGATTATATTAAATCAATTTCTACGTCCGCTGCTCGTAAATTATGTTCATTGTGTCGAACTAGAGAATTTTTTCTCGCCAGAATCTCTCTGACATAGTTCTAAGTCTACCAATCGTCCTTGCTTGGAATATTGCTACCAAATTTTTTTATGGTGCTATATATTTAGAGATTCTTGATAAAATCTAATGAAGGATCTGCAATGTTCTTGACCTGGTATCTCGGCTTCACTCCCTTTCCTACCAACGTGGATTGAGGAATCGGAGAGACGAGTTCGAATGGAGGCACGGTGGAGTAATGGATAGCGGCTTGGATTGAGCAATCGGAGAGCCGAGTTCGAATTCCAGTCGAATCCATTACATTCACTTACGTGTTAATACCCTATAGGTAAATAGCATGACAGACTGGGTTCTATAGCATTGGATGGCAACTGGTCTAGGAGGAGAAAAACTCTGAATTCAAAACCTGCCGAGGGTCGTTTGGGGACCTTGTGGCACGTAGTGCATCAGGTCTCTGTAATCGGCCCTTCAAAAAGTGTGGATGGTCCTGCACGAAACCTTCACCACTATAATCATATCTTATGTGCTGTTGTCGGGCTGGCGGTTTCCTGGGAACTGATCTGAAGCCTATACATGCGGGTTTGGGGACCGCTTGTGAATTCCAAATTCCCATGAAACTCCAATATTTGAGCCGACTCAATCCACCCCGGGTGAATGCCGTTACAAGAACATAAGGGAACTCCTTAACGTAGCTAATGTATCTTATATTTTCATGTTTTACCCCCAGGTTGGTGGTTCAGTATTTACCCATAGCTGGGACCCTAACAGGTGCTACCACCCAGGGTCATAGTGGACCTGGGAAAAACAACAATTAAGTTGTGGTTCCACGCTCCTCAAATCCTCCTGATCAGAGGCCATGCTGTTGGACGTAGCTCATCGTCTTACCCTGGACGCGGATGTAGTTTATTGTCATACCCAGGAAGGTATCGAGAGATGGTGCTAACCAGGTATTTGAAGGCATCGTCGTTTACTAGCTGGGTGCCATCTACGGTGACATCTGAAACAGGGAGTGGTTCGTGTCTGGTGCAGGTTGATATAGTAGTTCAGTCTTGTGGAGACTTATTTTCATGCAAATTTTGAAGCCATTTCTAATCGATCAAGCATCAGCTTCACTTCGGATCAGAGGCCGCGCTGCCGGTTGTAGTTTATCGTCATACCCAGGATGAAAATACATTAATCATTAATGATTCCCAACAAGGTTTTTATTGTTTCATACTAGACAAAGGCTAAAAAAGCCTAAAAACAAAAAAATAATATATATTTACTATCCTGAATTTGATGAATATGCAGCTATATATATACGAAATGAAAAAGACTGTATCATCAAAACACTCTGCTGCTGTAGGTTGCTGTGGAATGTTGCAAAAAAACGTGTAGCTGTTCAATGAACTAATGGTGGCAGATTAAATAAATAGTGCCGGACCATCGGAGTTGGTGGATCCCAGTTTACAGAAGCGGAAAAAAGTAGGAAAATGTTTTGATTGAATTTTGATAATTTGGGAATCTTTATATATTTACTTTCTTAATTTATTTTTACCTGTGACGTTTAACAAAAATACCCATAAACTATTTGATTAGGAGATCAAAATATAAAAGGAGTTCTTAGCCCAACCAAGCCCTTTGCAAAAGATCTAATATTTGATCAATTCGTCAGATTTTGCTCGTAATTTTTTCTAATGTATTTTATATTTTCCATTTTTTTGTGGGGGGGGGTCACTATTTAACCATAGTTGGACCCTAACTAGTGCTACCACCCTGGGTCTGGGTGGACTTGGGAAAAACTGCAATTAAAAGGTTGTTCCACGCTCCTCAAAACCTCCTGATCAAAATCCTTGCTG